CCCCGGGACCCCTCCTCACCCCCGGTCCCCATCGGGGCCCCTTGGTGACCCAGCAGATCTCGGTCTGGCACATGGTGCAGCGGATCCAGTCGCAGCCGTCCTTCTTCTGCACCACGATGCGGCACGTGGGGCAGTGCATGGCCTCCCCCCGCTGCACCAGCGTCTGGGGGGGCGCGGGGAGGGGGGGTCAGGGCCGCGGGGACCCCCCGGGACCCCCCCGGCCCCCCTCGGAGCCCCCGCACCTGCAGCATGTCCCGCGTCTGGCGCGCGGCCGCGTCGTGCAGCGCCCGCAGCTGCAGCTCGTCCTGGTACTGCCGGCAGTTCTGGCCCTCGTGGATGGCCTGGGGGGGCCGGGGGTCAGCCGGGACCCCCCCCCGGGACCCCCCGGGACCCCCCCGGGACCCCCTCGGGCTCACCTTGCACAGGAGGCAGTTGAGGGCCCCGCACACCGGGCACGGGAACTCGTTGACCGCGTCCTCGTAGAAGCACCAGCCCGGGCAGTCCCGGCCCCGGCAGTGGAAGCTGTTCCGGCTGCGGCGCTCGGCCAGCGCCAGCCCCCGCGCCAGGAACCGCGCGTGCTCCTCGGGGGACAGCAGCTGGGGACACATTGGGGACATTGGGGACATGGCACTGGGACCCTGAGCCAGCGCCAGCCCCTGCGCCAGGAAGCGCGCGTGCTCCTCGGGGGACAGCAGCTGTGACAGTGGGGACATTGGGGACATTGGGGACATTGGGGACATGGCACTGGGACCCCTGAGTCACTGTCACCCACCCCTAGGAACCCCGAGCCAGCGCCAGCCCCCGCGCCAGGAACCGCGCGTGCTCCTCGGGGGACAGCAGCTGGGGACACATTGGGGACATTGGGGACATTGGGGACACGGCACTGGGACCCCTGAGTCACTGTCACCCACCCATGGGGACCCCTGAGTCACCAGTCCCCGCACCAGGGGTGGCATGTCCATGTTGGGACCCCCTGTGTCACTGTCACCCGCCCCTGGGGACCCCCGTGTCACCACCTACCCAAGGGGACAGCCGGGTCCCCTGGGAGCCCCCTGTGGGTGTGGCTGTCCCCGCTGTCCCCCCCATGTCCCCCCCAGTCCATGTTGGGACCCCCTGTGTCACTGTCCCCCGCCCCTGGGGACCCCCGTGTCACCACCTACCCAAGGGGACAGCCGGGTCCCCCGGGAGCCCCCTGTGGGTGTGGCTGTCCGCCCCTCGGGGGACAGCAGCTGGGGACACATTGGGGACACTGGGGACATTGGGGACATTGGGGACATGGCACTGGGACCCTGAGCCAGGAAGCGCGCGTGCTCCTCGGGGGACAGCAGCTGTGACAGTGGGGACATTGGGGACATTGGGGACATTGGGGACAT